TTCTGTGGCAGAAATACTACTTGTACATTCGTTTAATTTCACTAAACCATTACTGTCTACTTAATTGACATTTAAGCGTATCATTAACAGAATTAATGTGGTCAATTCATTATTGTGTTCTTACTTTCTAAAGACGGAGGAGGATATTGACACATTTAGATTATCCAAATTGTTTTACTGGGTTTTTTTTTCTTAGTCTTGATAAATTGAGATCATGGGTTATCAACTGTTACTGTCCGAACTACTTTATTCCTGAACACAACGTGTTCTTTGGAAAGATCAATGAAGGTAACAAAATCAAACCTCTCAATATTCTGAATAGTATAAAGTGTAGTGGAATTGAAGGATTGATAACGAATTTAATTCGCCTGACGATGGAAATATTCGTTTATTTAGTACAAAGAGTAAAACTTCGTTCATTTTGTAAGATATCTTGTTTTACAAGATTTGTGAATCGATGACAGCTCATTATGCCATTTCAATTTGTTATAAAGAACTGATATTTACTGAGTGTTTGCTAAAGTCAGAATCATCTACATTTATGATTGATGTCTTAATATCACCATGCAAGATTCAATCAATTTGCTGCACAAAAACTAATACCACTAAACACAAAGAATAAAACGTACAACATACACAAACAAACTTGATCATATACATTTACAAGACGGTATCAAGTCAGATGCAGTGTCAGGTTGGTTAATATAGCCATCATTATATTACGTGACAGGACAGTACACCGTATCACTGAGACTAACAGAATATGCTTAATCAAAGTGTACACCTGATATGGTGATGGTAGGCCGTGACGATTATAGGGAAAACATATAAATGATTACAAACAAAATGTATATTCTTCAATGAAACTGAATGACAAGATGAAAATAGCCACGATTGGCCTTGTCGGGTACTTACATCATATCTTTTCAAAGTCAACCTTAAGAATGGTACGCAGGTTTTATAAGTTTTAAGAAAAAATAATTATTCTGGGACTTTCGCATGGCTATTTGTTTTGTATGAACCAACCTCCAACCTTCGGAGAACTCACAGTACTTAGAAAAGTTTCTGGAAACCTAATATTTTTCGTTTTGGCAGAAAGGATTAAAATAACTGATAATGTTATGCTCTTTGTAATTTATTTTATAATTTTGGGAATTTACAGAAGGTTGGAAATTTCAAACTTCTGTCGAATCGACCTTCTTTTTTATCTTTATTTTCGATTCGACCTTCTTGCAATCGTAGTATACCTTTCTGGCCTATTTATTGGATAATTTTTGTATATAGATATAAATTTACTAAATTATTATATGTATTGTTTGTCAATCAATTGTACATGCGTTATTTTTATATATGCTATATAAAGTACATCTGAAATTTAAACTGACTTGTATTTCAACCAAATACCAGATCTAAGGATCCATGACAATTATGGTCGGTAAAGTTTCTTATTTTCAATAAATTATATCCACTTGGTTTAAAGGGGCGCAACCGTTACAATATACCATCAGAATCATATCATCTGAATAGAATAGGTTAATATGTGATTTATATGTGAATTTACAATTCAGGTGAATCTTGTCTGACGGACAATTAGATCTTGCAAGGATCCCATATACCAAGGACAATTATATTATTACTGATAAAAAGTGGGACATTCATATGAGTCGGAGTTCCTTCAGACACTTGTCAAAAACAAGAAGACGCCTGATTATTTTATTTCACATTCAGATATATTGATGATATATTGATGATGTTCTTTCCATAAACAAACCAAATTTTTCTGCTTGGGTTCTATTAATATATCCTACAGAACTAGAAACAATAGACACGGATTCCCCCGCTTCATTTTTAGACTTATACGTCGAATTTGACATCAGCGGTCATCTCAGTACCAGAATCGATGACAAACGAGACGATTTTAATTTTGAATTATCAATTTCCCCCACCTTAGTAACAATATATCTACTTCACCTGCATATGGGATATACATTTACCAACTCATTCGGTATTCAAGAGCCTGCAGCTGCTACTCAGACTTTGTAAAAGGTCAACAGTGTCTGAGCAAAAAGTTGATGAACCAGGGTTATGTCAGAGAACGTCTCGTCCTTTTTCTAAACAAAAGTTCATCGGAAGATACCAAGACCTTGTTGATAAATATTCCGTATCAACTTCACAAATAATACATGATGTTCTTAATGTATAGATTCTAGGTACTGACGTTGTTTATCATCTTAATAACGTGTTATAGTGTTCTTTTATTTGTCTTTGTAAATTATTAACGTTTACTGTTTGTGCCGTTTTTTTGTAATATCCTTTATACGTGGCTCGGTACTTGTACTTCCCGCCATTGTGTTTTTGTGCTGTTGTCATTTTTTGTATTCTTCTGTTTCAAAGTTGCGTATGTGCTTTGTCTTTATGCCATTTTTGTTGTTGTTGACATATTTGTTTGTTTTATAGTGATTGAGATTATAACACAATGTTGACTGCTGTACCTCTATTTTTGACATTTTTACCTTTTATGTCTGTTTGTTTTGTTCACACATTGTTGTCAATATAATGGAATTCTATGCGACTGTCATACAAGTGAGAGGTTTAGCAAGCTTTAAAACCAGGTTTAATCCACCATTTTCTACATAAGAAAATTCCATTACCAAGTCAGGAATATGACAGTTGTTTTCCATTCGTTTGATGTGTTTGATTTTGCTAATTGTTGAGGGACTTTCCGTTTTGAATTTTCCTTGGAGTTCGGTATTTTTGTTGTTTTACTTTTTACATTACCATGACAAAAATGTATACAGTTTTTCCAGCAGTCACCAAACCATTTAAATTAGGCCAAGGAAAATTGACATATATCAAAGCTACAATTATTTTGCGATGTTCAAATCGCAAAATCGATTAAGAAGGTAACTCAAGGTAGCATATGACAGACATAACATAGACATTTATATGCACGGTACAGTATAAAACATCAAGGTCTTTTACCTTCTGAAATATATAGCATGATTGAAATAGCTTTCGCCGCCGCTGCCGTCGAATTAACATCCATTTGTCTGCATGTCAATCTGCGACTTTCGTTACAGGCCAGTCAATTACACTAAACAAAAACAAAACCTTTGAAGACAAAAGAATAATTAGCTGATAGTCATAAAATGGGATAAAGAAACCAAAAGAAGTATTAATTGTAAATTAATAAGTCGAGATAAACTAACAACGCAAAAATATAGACCAATAACTGCAATTGAACGTAGTTAATTATCTTGTTATGCTATGAAGTCAGCTAATGTCTTCAATCTTTTTTTTAAATTCGGTTTCGAGACTTATTCCTTCAGTCATGAGTCAGACTTCACACAAAAGCTTCCAATGAAGAATTAAAAGAAGCTAGCATTATCCTTTAAGTTCACGTTTTGCTATATAGATGATGTCCTATAACAAAATAATTCAAAGTTTTGTGACTATGTTGAACGCATCTATCTTATCGAACTTGATATTAAGGATACAACATATACAGTTAATTCTGATTCGTATTTTGACTTACATCTAGACAAGGAGTGTTGGTTGAAAATAAAATTTTGAGACAAAAGATATCATTTCGACTTCCTAATTGTGAACTTTACATTTCTAAGTAGCACCGTTCCAGCAGCGCATGCATAATTATGGAATATATATCTCCAATCGGATATGATATTCCAGAGCTTGTCTTTCCTATCATGATTTCCTTGATACTTGGTTGCTGCTTACAAGGAAGATTTTAAATTTAGGGTTCCGAGTGGTGAGGTTCGGTCATCCCTTCAAAAAATGTACGGACGCAATCACGAGTTAGTTGACCTTTGTGGAATATCTGTTTCATAGATGACAACGGATATGTTCCTATTGTCGTTACCAAAATCAAGTCGTTTCTTCGACTGTGACATCCCTTAATTAGACTCATCACCAAATCTTTACTTATATAAGAGCCCCACGACGTGTGGGTTTCAGGTCAAGTTGAAATTTGAAGGTACTGACATGTTAAGTTTTAAAGTTATGCACCTTTAAAAGTTTGGTTTCTTCAGTTTTAGGATGATAATGATAATACGTCCTGAACAAATTTTTTAACACTTGCACATAATGTAAAAGACCATAAAAAAACAGGTCAAATTCGATATTGATGGTTTTGACATTTACTGTTCAAGATGTATGCCCTTACAAACCTTCAGAATTGGTATTACTTTGATTTCAGGATGACACTTTAAGTACCACTTGTCTAAATATTTTTACATTTGAACACGCAAAGTCAGGGATTATTAATATGTCAAGTTCGATTTTGATGGTTCTGACATTTACCCTTCAGTAGTTATTCCCCTTAGATACCTTAAAACTCTAACTTTTGTTTCCATATGAAAACGAAAGTACCATCTTATTACAATGTCATGAAACATAAAATATAGGTCACATTCAATTTGAGTTTTTCTGCAAAGTGGGTGTATTCTAGTTCAACTTGTAATTCAATGATAAAACTACTCCTTATATTATAAATACTGGAGTCATACGGTTATTTTAGATTTCAGGTTAATTTAATGACAAATATCACATTAAAATTATTTTGAATCGTCTTACTTTTGTGCTATAGCTTTTTATAAACAGATATATAAGTCTAACCAAGCTTCGAATATCTGCCAATTAACTTCAGAGAAACATACGTACATGTTGAAACTCGGGATTTGAGGCAAGTGGGATTGTGACCTTACGATGTGTGCTGAGCGGAGCGAGGTGGGAAAGATTAACGCTTTTCTTTCCAAAGAGGGTATGTTTTAGGATTTACATGTGAGGGGAAGCTCCGGGTATGTCCCCAACTGAGTTCGATTCTGTATGTCGTATAGGGATTAAAAAACAACCAGATGTTTTAAAATGCCATGTTTAACTCATAGATATTATCTTGAACCATTACAACGTATGTTCTATCATGAGTTTTCAATGAATCTAATAAGGAAACAGTTAGTATTTTCAGTGTTCTTATGGACAGAGTTATGTTTATGATCTGAAAAGCTCCGAAAAAATGCAAAAACTAAAACATCGAACCATGCAGCAATCCCAGATATATTTCTAACAAACAAATTAACCAAAGATGGTCATGACTCACAGTAAACAAACATTGAAATGGATTTAAAGACAAAACTTATGACACAAAACATATAGATCAGACATATGAATCAAGTGACACTTTTCCTGAAGAATCAGATACCTATTTACAGTATTCCACATTTTCTACACATCATTTATCATTTGTGTCGCTTTGAAAAACAGAATTGCTCGATTTTCGTAATTTCGTTGCTTTCCATATGAAGTGTCGAAAAATTGGATATCCTCCTTTTCATTCTCAAAAAATTTATTCCCTCCCAGCCGCCCGTTTAGGTTACACATCATCGGTCCTTAATGAAAAATATTCAAATTCATAACAGATATAGCTTACACATTTGTTACAATCTGAAAATGGCAGTTTGAAATGAAAAACAAATGTTAATAAATTAAATGTTCAAGTTGTTATTTTTTCCTGTTCCAAATCAAATCTCCTGGCCATGTACTATAATCGGATGCGTTAACAAGCTTTGACAAATTCGGTGTCAATCCATGTTTATCAAAAAAGTCAATTATAAACTGTCCTGTTTCATCTTTTCTATGGAATCGAAATTCCAATAAAACTGTCTCAACTTTAACTTTTTCGAAAAATATTTTGGCACCTTTAAGTATTTCATCTTCATGCTTCTCAACGTCCATTTTTATTATTGCATTTTTAATGGGAAATATTTCAAGTAAATCATCTAAAAGTATGGCATTAGCTGTTAAATTGTGAGTTACATTTGATGTTGACGATATTTGTTCTACTCCCATTCCGCCAACATTAGGCTCTGTTGATTTAATCAATCTTAATTCCGATCGCTTGTCTGAAATTCCATTATGAATAATAGACATTTTGTTTGTAACGTTTGCTTTCCTTGCGGAGGCACACAACCGCATTACATTCTCTATATAACAATCGACTGCAATAACGCGATAACCAAGAGCCGCCATTGTCATAGAATACATTCCTATGTTAGCACCAATGTCAATAAACACTGCGTCCGGGTGAAGTTTCATTGCTTCGACAACCTTGTCAACCAGCGGGGTTTCCCATGTACCAGAATTAAAGATCATTCGAGATATGTGAACATCCTCATTAGGATTATAAATATATATAGGTACATTCAAAGGCAGTATCTTTTTAAGGACAAAATTATCTTTTGCTTGACAGGTTTCTTCATCTAATATATTCCATCCAAGGTTATTTTCACGTGTGATTATTTTCCCTAGTGTCTCTTCTGAACTAAGTAGAACAATGTTTGTGTTTTCGACTGGTTTAGTTTTATCAAAGTTTACATTATAGCGAATGAATATAAGAAGTGGGACTATTAATGTCACTCCTAAAGCAAACCATATCACGGCATACTGATATTGAACAGATCCCATCTTCAGTCACCAGTAGACTCCAGAGTGATCCTTTTTTCTGAAAAAGGACACAGATATTGGTCAGTTTTCGAAAATTACTGGGCAAATCCCATGTCAAGTCACCAGTGGACTCCAGGGTTATCCATGTCTGAAAAAGACAGAAATTTTGGCCAGTTATCGATCATAACTGGACTTTTCCCAGTAGTGTCACCAGTGGACTCCAGGGTGATCGGTTTCTGAAAAGGACACAAATATTGGTCAGTTATCGAAAATCCCGAGACAGATCCAATGCCAAGTATCCAGTGGACTCCAGTGATTCATTTCTAAAAAGGACAGACATATTGGTCAGTTGTCGAAAGATACTGGACAGATCATAGTTACCAGTGGACTCCATGGGGATCTATTTCTGAATAGGACAGGAATATTTGTCAATTATCGAACATTACTGGACATATCCCATGTCAAGTTACCAGTGGACTCCATGGGGATTTATTTCTGAATAGGACGGAAATATTGGTCAGCTATGGTCGATGTTAGGCTGTGGGGTCTTGTACATTTCCTTCATACCTTTTTTATCTTATTTTGTTAAGTTTTGTTTACATCTTTTATGATTTTTATAACTTTGTTATTACCGTTTATGGATGAAGTTGTTTTGTGCGTTTTTTTGTTGTTTTTTTTCTCAGGTTTTTGTTTACTTCTCCTCTGATGTCTGAATGACGTATATTAACAAAAATTTTGCTCGATTTTAATGTGTTAGAAATCATTTTATCTCCGACTTATATGGTTATTTTTTCTGCAATATGTTATATGTGGTAGGCAATTGGGATCTCCTAATTTTGAAGTTGAAATATTACAATGAATTTATAGAAAAGGCCACGCACAAGAGATATGATGATTAAATGTATGTACCCACTCTTCCCCCTAAACAGACCCTCATGTATAGTTGCTCACATCTACGTCACATGGTCTCTGGCGGATATTTGTCTCATTAATTCGCATCTATATCATATCTTCATTTTTTTATATTGTTTTATTTTACTTAAATGCGTTGAGGTGCGTTCTTGTTTGGAAATTTTTGTTGCATTTTTATCATCTGAAACGGCTTTCTCTTAAACGGCGATTTGTTCAGGTCACAGGTGCTTGGGTACATAATTTGGAATTTGTTCATTAATTGCACTGAATATTAAAATAAAATTGAGAATCGAAATGGGGAATGTTTCAAAGAGACAACAACCCGATCAAAGGGTAGCTAAAGGCCACCAATGGGTCTTCAACATAGCGAAAAAATCCTCCACCCGGAGGCGGGCTTCAGCTGGCCCCTATACAAAATGTGTACCAGTTCAGTGAAAATGAACGTCACACTAAACTCCAAAACATATAAATGAACTAAAATTAAAAAACATACAAGACTTACAAAGGCCAGAGGCTCCTGATTTGGGACAGGCGCAAAAATGCGGCGGGGTTAAACATGTTTTGTGAGATCTCAACCCTCCCCCTATACCTCTAGCCAATGTAGAATAAACAAACACACAGCAATACGCACAGTAAAACTCAGTTCAAAAGAAGTCCGAGTCCGATGTCAGAATTGAATTTTCTGCTTTTATACCACATACTTAAGACTACTTTTTTTGTCGTACCTTGTTTTTGGTGAATTAAGAAATCTGTTACAACCCCTTATTTTAGATTCATTTTACTGTCCATTGATGAAGTCAAATACAACCCCTTATTTTACTATCCATTCTAGGATAGTAAATAAGGGGGTGTATTCACCCAAAAAAAGGTAAGACACGCATATATAGTAATGTTAAAACAGAACAATCAGTATTCAGTGCAAACAATGAAACAAATATCAAAATCACGTACCCAAGCGCCTGTCGTTCAGATGTGTATAACTTAATGTTCTGCGATATTTTGATGTACTTTAAAACAAACGTCAAGGAAACCTCTAGCCAACAACACAAATAACCAAAGACGACTAAAAAAATACTTTTCCAAACAGTAAGTGAAAAGTGTACCACGTGCACATGTCGATCTAGTTCAATGTGACGACCAAAAGAATCGAGTTCATTCCCTTGACTTTCACTAGCTATATGAAATAATATGTACATACATGTGTATATTCATTAATTTTTATCTACATTTCTGTAAAAGTAAAAATGTAATGCCTTAAGTAATTAATAATGATGTGATCGGTTCATGTCCTTACCTTACAAAGTATTTTTAATGTAGACATCTGATACAGTATATTAATTCTGTCCTTTATCTCATTACATGTTTACCTAACCTGCCCCACTTATAATCCTATAGTTGTCATTTCATATCAATCATATTTCATCAGGGCAATCGCTGTAATGAATTAAATATATATATATATTCAATTTAGACTTGTTTATATACATACATATATAGATTTGAATCCTTTGGGATAGTAGTAGGCCCGGGGCTTGAGTGTTGTCTGAATAATTGTATGCGTTATAAACAGCGTAAATGTGAATGAAAGATAAATACAATTCATTTGTGAAGAAGATTATGAAAATGTTGCTATACAGACTTTTTCACAGATGTTGTTAAAAAGCAACCTGATTATTCAAACAATCGTTCCATAAGGAAGCTGCCATTTGATTTGTATGGGGGGGGGGGGGGGGGGGCTAGTATGAAAATTTTTGTCCTGCATTTTTTTTTTAGTTGTAATCTCTGTCCTGCCTTTTTATTTTTCGCTCTATTCGGTCCTGTCGGTTTTTTTTTTTAGTTTATCCTTACTTTTTTTTATATAAATTGTCATCCTGCCTTATTTTTTGCAAAGTGTCTCATCCTGCCTTTTACTCAAAACTCCTGTCCTGCCTATTTTTTTCAAATTTCATCCTAGCCCCCCCCCCCCCCCCTTTCCCCTTAAAAATCAAATGGTAGCTCCCTAAGACATGTAATATGAGAATATTTTTCACATTTCCCAAATCTGAAATAAAAAGTCAATCACAAATTGTTGCAACAGTTATATGACTTGAATAGACTAAATTAAAAAAATAATAAAAAAAACAACTAAGCAGTATATATAGAAATTGGTTTTTTTTTAATATACCGGCCGTCTAAACATTGAAAGTTTTAATTAATTCATTTTTCATTACATTTATTATCACAAACAATTAAATTATACTATTACATTTGTGTTGTACATTAAACCAGTACCTTTAAAATAAAATAAAAATGAAAAGAAAGAAAAATAGTATGATTGCCAATGAGAGAATTATCCATTTACACCCAAGGACAAAAATGTGAACCGGCAATCAGGTCATCTTGCGGTATTTAGTGCTGTATTAACTATCAGAAAATTGTTTATAATTATCATAATAACATTAATTCAACATTCATCTTTAGTCACTGTTTCAATGGTAACTTGACAACTTGTGTCTGCAGGGTTACTTATATAATAAGTTTTTCTCATTATTTAGTGTTCTCTTGGCTTGAAATATTCTTCATTGTATCTATAACTTTTAAAAAAAAATATAAAACAAAAGCAGCAAAACAGAAATTAAGTTAAACACGGATCACATTTTTAAAGTAAAGAATAATTAACGTATTCCACTTCTGGTTTACAAGTTCTGCTTTCTAAATACATGACCAAATATTTGATTTATTGTTTATTTATTGCCTTATTTCAGAAAACTTTCATCTATTACTTGTATCTAATATCCTCTAGATAAAAATTCAAAGTTGGTTTTCAATAAGAATTATCTATTATTATCTTATTTTATATTTTAAGTTAACTGCACACTGAACACGGATACACCCATTATGAAGAATAAACCGGTTTAGGCCGGACGCTGAAGGTTAGGTCTAGAAAACCTTAGAAAACAATAAAATCGAAAGGTTTCTGTTGTTGGGTTCCTTTTACCCATATATGCCTGTATACGAATATCAGACAACATTGAAATTTAAGAGAAATAACGACAGGTCAGAAAATTTATAAAAAAAAACAATGATTTCGTGTTGTACAATTTTAGTTATTTCTAGTTAAGATTGCAAATAAGATAACTCTCCACCAGAGACCAAATGCCGTAGAAGTTACTAGTAGCATCTATAGGTCATCGTACGTGATTCAACAATGAGCAAAACCTATACCGTACGGCAAGCTTTAAAAGGCCCAGAAATGGCATAATGTAAAGTAATTCAAATGAGAAAACTAATATAATGGCGCGATTTGCATACTAAACAATAAATGAAAAACAATATTATATACAGCAACATACAACAATGATGCTATTTTATGTGCAGTATAAAAAAATGCTGTCATAAGGTACAAAAATGTAGAAACAGACAAAAAAAACATAAAACAAAAAAAACCATAGCATGTTTGTCATATTTGTTCTTCGTAAATTGCTTTGTTATACATTAGGCCATTAGTTTTCTCAATTGATTTTTTCATATATATCATGTCCGGGGCTTTTAATGCCGACTATACAGTATGGGGTTTTCACATTGTTGAAGGCCGCACGGCTGCCTATAATTGCTTACATCCACTTCATTTGAACGTTGTGGATAGTTGTCTCATTGGCAATCATACCATATCTCCTTATTTTATGTAGTTGACCTATTGCTTATAAATTATAATATCAGATAAACTGGCAAAATTACAAAAAAAAACTTAAGTCTTGACCAATGAACAATGAAAACGAAGTCAAGATTATATGAACCCTGTCAAACCTCACACCTCACAACTATTCCATACACTAAGCATAATTAACCTATTGCTTATAATATCTGAGAAAAAGACCAAACCAAAAAAACTAAAAATTGTCCGATGAGCCATGAAATTAAGATCCAGTTCAGATGAAGCCTGCCAGACAGACGTGCATACCTTACAATCATTCAATACACCAAATAAAGTGGTCCTTTTGCATAAATATCTGAAAAAGAAACCAATCCGCAAAAACTTAACATTGTCCAATGAACCATGAAATTGAAGTCAATTAAGGTCAGATGAAACCTGTGTCGGACATGTACACCTTACAATCATTCCATACACCAAATATAGTTCACCTATTGCTTTTAGTATCTGAGATTGGAACTCGACCATGTATCTTAAACCTTGATCTAAGGTTGAGGTCAGGTGAACCCTACCTGACTAACATGTAGAAGTTGCAAGGAACCAATAAACCAAATAAAGATATCCCATTCATCATAATAAAT